CCATTGTGCGTCTTTCCCTGAAGTTTGTGCAAGGGAGGAAACAGTTGTGTTGAAAGAAGGTGACGCGGGTAGGGCAGGGTGGGGGAAAGCGGGGGTCTGCTCACCTGCGGGGGGGGGGGGGGTTTTTCAATTCAGACCAGAGCTGGAAGGGACCTTGGAGGTCATCTAGTCCAGCCCCCCCTGCTCAAACAGGAGACCCTATACAAGTTCAGATAGGTGGCTGTCCAGTCTCTTCTATAAAATCTCCAGTGGGAAGGAAGGAAGGAAGGAGGGAGGGAGGGAGGGAGGGAGGGAAGGTAGGTAGGTAGGTAGATAGGAAAGAAGGAAGGAAAGGAAGGAGGAAGGAAGGAAAGAAGGAAGGAAGGAAAGAAGGAAAGTAGGTAGGTAGGAAAGAAGGAAGGAAGAAGGAAGGTAGGTAGATAGGAAAGGAAGGAAGGGAGGAATGAAGGAACGAAGGAGGAAGGTAGGTAGGAAGGAAGGAAGGTAGGAAGGAAGGAAAGAAGGAACGAAGGAACGAAGGAGGAAGGAAGGTAGGCAGATAGGAAGGAAGGAAGGAAGGAAGGAAGGAACGAAGGAGGAAGGAAGGTAGGCAGGTAGGTAGGTAGGAAGGAAGGAAGGAACGAACGATAGCAGAATAACTGAGTTGGAAGGGACCCCCCCAAAAATAAGCCCTAATTAAGATCCTGCCCACTCCAGAATGGAGGATAAAAATTAAGCTGATGAGGGCGAGAAATGGGGTGGTGGAGCTGACCTACTACTTACCTTTGGACAGGTGTAGCCAGGCCTCACACACACCCCGACACCTGCCTCGCCGGCCCATTTCTTCTGCAGCCGACAAGGCTGGCAAGGCTTTCCTGAAGGCCTCTGGAGCTGAGAACCAAGCTCAGGATCGATCCTATCGGCTGCAGAGGCCTTCAGGAAAGCTTTGCCGGCCGCAGAAGTTCCTGAAGGCCTCTGACAGCAAAAAGGAAGCCAGGGGCGACACACACAAGTGAGGTTAGTCAGTGGATGATGTCCTCCTAAAATAAGACCTGGTGCCTTTTTTGGTGGCAAAAAAATATATATGACAAGGTCTTATTTTCGGGGAAACACGGTAAGCGCTCTTGCTAATACAAGTAATCCTTGACTTAAAACCATTCATTTGGTGATATCGACTGTGACAAAAAAAAAAGGTCATGGAATGGAGCACAACTCACTTAACGACCGCCTTGTTCAACAATGGAAATTTGAGGCTCAAATTATGGTTGTTAAGTCAAGGACTACCTGGATAAGAAATGTGATTTTACTTACAGGCGTCCTCTAAGAAACAGAAGAGAGTTGTGTTCACCGTAGACAATCGAAAGCCCAGCGAAATTTCCTCCAAAGACAATGGAAGTCTGGAGCTCATCCTGTGCACAGGAACCAGTGGGAAACTATGGGGCAGGTTCTCTCCAAGGGGTCAGGATGTAGCCCGGAGATTCCCACGCTCCCGCCCAGCCTCTCCCCACCTCCCCGAGGGAAAATGAGCGGGGTGGACAAGGCCTCCGTAGCTGTGGGAGGACAGCTATGGTTAGTTTAGGACAGAGGTAGGGAAGGATAGCTCTTTGATGACATTTGGACTTCAACTCCCAGAATTCCTGAGACAGGATGGGCAACAATGGCCCTTTGATGACGTTTAGACTTCAACTCCCAGAATTCCTGAGACAGGATGGGCAACGATGGCCCTTTGATGACGTTTAGACTTCAACTCCCAGAATTCCTGAGACAGGATGGGCAACGGTGGCCCTTTGATGACATTTAGACTTCAACTCCCAGAATTCCCGAGCCACATTTATCTAAATAATGTTATTTAAATAGTTTTTTTATTCTGTTAAATAATTTTTATTCTATTCTGTTATAAATGGTATAGGTGGGATTCAAAAACCCCAGCAACCAGTTCTCTGCCCGGTTGGTGGATAGGCCTGGCCATGGTGGGTGTGGCCTACTGGAACTTCCGGGGGGTGGGGGGGCTGTTTTTCACCTTCCCCAGAATCCGGAGGCTTTCCTCAGGCCTCTGGGAGGGCGAAAACAGCCTCCCCCGGACTCCGGAGGTTCTCCGGAAGCCGGAAATAGGCCCGTTTCCAGACTTCCGGTTCGTTTTTCCCTCTCCCAGAGCCTCCGCGCAGACCCTGTAGTTACCTGCATCCAAAATGGGCCATATGGAGACTCCGGGGTGGGGTGGGCAGGGCCAGCTGTTCAGTTCAATTATCCGTTTGGCCAACCAGATGTTAAATTTAACAACTGGTTCGCCCGAACCAGTCTAAACCAGTCGGATGAATCCCCACCCCTGGCTATAGAGGTTTTTGCTTGAGCTGTGTGTGTGTGTGTGTGTTAGACCTCCACCTCTCTTATTCTGTTAAGCAGGTTTTCTTTAAACAAGTATTTTTTTTAATTGAAACTCAGTTTAAATTATTCGAATTTTATTCGACATAAAAATTTTGCTCCCGTAAAACTGGTTGGTTGCAAGATGGGCTGCTCTTCTCCTAATTATTATTATTATTATTTTCCTGGGATTTTTCTCCTGCACCAAACTTTCCCACACTCGGCCTCTAATGGGGTTTGCTCTCTGTTGTTGTTGTTGTTGTCGTGTGTTTTTGGTAGTGTAAGCACATCCTCGCCATCTATCTGAGCCGAGCGACCGGCGCTTGCCAGGAGCAAAGCATCTCCAACCAGCATCTGACGGCCCTGCTCCTCCCCGAGGAGAAATGAGGACGGAAGGAAGTTGAGAAAAAGGACGAGGAAATGTGAGCTGTAACCACGGGTGACTGGAAGCGTTTTGAGCTGGGTGTGCGTCTTTTCCTTCTACCCCGTTGTGTCCTGCTCCTGTTTTCTGCTCAGAAATGACCGATGACTGTCGTTGTGGGTTCCCCCTGGGGGACAATTTTATGTAGCTCTGGACTGCATACACACACACACACACACGTCACATTCGGAAACGATTAACCCTGAAAAGTGGATTGCAGCAAATATCTTTAAAGTATTTTTTCCGCAAGGATGAAAACGACGCCAGTAAATTGGGAGGCCAAGTTTGACTTTGGCAAGTGTTTTATTAAAAAAAGAAAGAAAAGAAAAGGAAGAAAAAGAGGGGGCGGGGAGAGTGAGAGAAAGAAAGAAAGAAAGAGAGTGAGAGAGAGAAAGAAAGAAAGAAAGAAAGAAAGAAAGGTAGGAAGAAAGAAAGAAAGAAAGAAAGAAAGAAAGAAAGAAAGATGGAACCACTTAGAGAGGGCTATAAAGCATTGTGAAGCGCCATATAAGTCTAAGTGCTATTGCTTAGGAAGAAAAGAAGGAGAAAAAGGAGGGAGGGAGGGAGGAAAGAAAAGGGAGGGATAGGAAGGAAGGAAAGAAAGAAAGAAAAAGCGAAAAGGAAAGAAAAAGAAAGGAGGAACCGCTTAGGGCTGTAAAGCATTGTGAAGCGCTGTATAAGTCTAAGTGCTATTGCTTGGGAAGGAAGGAAGGAAGGAAGGAAGGAAGGAGAAAAAGGAGGAAGGAAGAAAAAAGGGAAGGAATGGAAAGAAAGGAATGAAAGAAGGATGAACTGCTTAGACAGGGCTGTAAAGCATTGTGAAGCGCCATATAAGTCTACGTGCTATTGCATGGGAAGGAAGGAAAAAAGGGAGGGAGAGAAGGAAGGGAGGGAGGAGAAAGGGGAGAGGGGGAAAGGAGAAAAGGGAGGGAGAGAAGGAAAGAAAGAAAAGAATGGCAATTGTTTAAATCTAGCTTCCCCTTTGCCAATTTAAACCAATAATTTAGTTCAGAGTAAGACAAAAAAAGATCCCCCTTTAAAACTCTCTCCATTGCATTCACAATATTTTAATTAAAAAAAGCACATCCGTTTTATACCATTTACTGGCCTACTTAAAAAGGATTTCCCATACGAGAATACCAGCAGCATCAAATAACTGATGACAAACTTAAATTAATCTTTAAAAAAAAAGACTTGAGCGGGTAAAGTTAACAGCCTCGTACAAAACACCAAATTATCACATGTATTAAAAGTTTCAGTTCCCTTGCTCCTGTGGTTTTATTTTTGGAGCGTGGCAGGACCGCAGAGCCATTTCACAGATGACACCCTCCCACCTACACAGGCAGACAAAAACACAAAGGGCAGCACGGTTTTGAAAACCTGCCCTTCTAATGGAGGCAAAGATTAAAAATAATTAAACGGTAAATTAAATCTCACCATCGTTGAAAGGGCTCAGGCAGCAGAAGCCCTTTAATTGTACGCCAGTATTTCCCAAACTCAGCGCCATGAAACGGTGTGGACTTCCACTCCCAGAATTCCAAACCCAGCATGCTTTAAAATGGGGTGGACTTCAATTCCCAGAATCCCCCAGTCAGCCATGCTTTAAGATGGGTGGATTTTCAACTCCCAGAATTCCTCAGCTGGCATACTTTGAGATTGGTGGACTCCCACTCCCAGAATTCCAAACCCACCATGCTTTAAAATGGGGTGGACTTCAATTCCCAGAATCCCCCAGTCAGCCATGCTTTAAGATGGACGGACTCCAACTCCCAGAATCCACCAGTCAGCCACGTATTAAAGTCCACCCATCTTAAAGCTTGCTGCCTAGGGAATGTTGGGAGTTGAAGTCCACACGGCGTCCCGTTGCTGAGGTCGAGGAACGCTACTGCGTGCAAAACAAAAACTGAGCCATTCTTGTTCCAACACTCCCGCATATCGCAGGAAGTCGCAGGGGTAGTCCTTGACTTACGACCAGTCACCGTTCCAAATTACCACAAACCTCTCCAAGGGTTACCGAACACCCAGTTCTGAAGTCGCAACAGCCAGTTCCCCCCAACATGGTCAAGTGAACGGATTTTAGGTGCTTGTCCATCAGCTTACGGCCCTTCGCAGCGTCTCTTGGCCACACGACAGGTATTACGACATTTCTGCCCACCTCCAAAAATTTACTTCTTCTAATTTTTGGCCAAGCCAGCCCTTACCAAATGACGGCTTTGAGGAAAAAAACCCATCAATGTGGGGTGACCCCCCCCTCCTCCCGTTTCCCACCGTCAATGACTTAGTCGAAATGGACGGTCGTAAGTCGCGGACTACCTTGAATATGAACCTCCTGGCCGCTTGTTTCCCACTGAACAGCGCGATGTGTGTGTGCTGTTCCGGACAGAAAAAAGACCTTTTGACCGTCCAGGTGACCTCAAACGTAGGTCGGCGATGTGTTCAGGTTATTCCCCGCCAAGTGACGGCTGCTACCGCCGCTGTTGCACCCTTTGGGGTAGTTGGGAAAATCCTCGTTCCTGCAGAGGACGTAACGCGACAGGATCTTCCGGAACGTATACCGGAAGTCCTGGATACGGTAAGCGTAAATGATTGGGTTGACCACCGAGTTGGTGTGGGAGAGGATGATGGTTAGATACATCATCCACTCCCGCTTGCTCTTGGCGAAGGTGGGGTAGAAGAGAATCAGGCAGTTAAGGATGTGCAGCGGCAGCCAACAGAGGGCAAACAGGCCCACAATGATGGCCAGCGACTTGGCGGCGCTGACCTCCTTCTGCAGCGTCATCCGGCAGTTGCCCACCAGTTCGATCTGCCGCAGCTGCTTGCAGGCCACGGCGAAGATCTTGATGTAGATGCAGAGCATGATGAAGAGGGGCAGGAGGACGCAGCCGAAGAAGTTGAAGTACACCATGTAGCTCATGGGCACCACATTCTCGAAGAGGCAGGTCACCCGGCGGTCCCCGCTGGGCCTCCGCGTCTCGTTGGTGCAGTTCTGAACGGCGCCCATCTTGTTCCAACCCATCAGCGGCGTCAGGCCGATGATGAACGAGAGGAGCCAGAGGACAGCGATGAGTCCGCGGGCTCGCTTCCCCGTCACCAGGCTCTTGTATCTGCGAGAAGAAAGCGGGACGAGAAAAATGGGGTCACACAAATGGGCGGGATAAGATCACCTTTCGTCCCTCGGGGAAGGATGGTTGGGTAGAGGGGGGTCCTCGAATGAGGAGCACAAGGGAGCCCCGAATTTCTCTTGTTAAGGGAGAGGTTTGTTAAGGGCTTTTGGGCCCCCGTTTTATGGTTTTTCTCACCCCAGTTAATAGTGAATCGCTCTTGTGGTTAAGTTGGTAACCCGGCGGTTAAAATGAATCTGGCTTCCCGTTGGCTTTGCTTGTCAGAAGGTTAGAAGAATAAGAATAGGATAGGATTTAAATGGGATGGAATGGAATGGAATGGAACAGAACGGAATAAAATAAAGAAGGAAGGAAGGAGGAGTAGAACATAGTAGAGTAGAGTAGAATAGGAATAGGAATAGTATAGAAATAGAACAGAAATAGAATAGTATAACGATAGAATAGAATAATAAGAATAGTATAATAATAGAATAGAATAATAATCGAATAGAATAGGGAGGGAGGGAAGGAAGGAAGGAAGGAAGAGAATGAAGGAAGGGAGGGAAGGAAGAGAAGGAAGGGAAGGAAGGAAGGAAGGAAGGAAAGGAAGGAAGGAAGAAAGGAAAGGAAGGAAGGAAAGGAAGGAAGGGAGGGAGGGAAGGAAGAGAATGAAGGAAGGGAAGGAAGGAAGGAAGAAAGGAAAGGAAGGAAGGAAGGAAGAAAGGAGAATAGTAGAATAGAATAGAAATAGAATAATTATAGAATAGATAGAAGATTAGAATAGAATAGCATAGAATAGAATACAATATAGGATAGGATAGGATAGGGTAGGATAGGATAGGATAGGATAGGATGAGCTGGAAGGGGCTTTGGAGGTCTTCTATTCCAGCCCACTGCTCAAGCAGGAGTCCCTATACCATTTCAGACAAATGGCTGTCCAGTCTCTTCTTAAAAGCCTCCAGTGATGGAGAACCCAGAAACTTCTGGTGGCAAGCAGTTCCACCGGTTAATTGTCCTCACTGTCTGGAAATGTCTCCTTCGTTCCCGGTTGCTTCTCTCCTTGATCAGTTTCCACCCGTTGCTCCTTGTCCTGCCTTCTGGTGCTTTGGAGACTAGGTGGACCTCTCCCTCGCAACAATTCGTTTAGCGACTGCTCAAAGTTACAACGGCAACTGGAAAAAGTGATTCATGACTGTTTTTCCACCCTTATAACCGTTTGCAGCATCTCCATACTTACGACAGTCACGGGGTCCCTGGGGGTCACGTGATCCCCTTTTGCGACCTTCCGACAAGCGAAATCAAAGGGGGAAGCCGGTTCCACTTAACGACCAGGGTGTTAAGTGAGGAACTTGCAGGAGATTCACTTAACAACTCTGGTGAGATAGGTTGTAAAACGGGCCAAACTCACTTAACCAATTTCTCACTGAGCGGCATCAATATTTGGCTCCATTGGTGGCGGGGAGGGGTATAAGTCCACAATTGTACTCTTTTTTTTTTTCTCGCGGGGGGGTGGACAACGAAAGAGGCGGTCAACCCCAGCAGGACGAGCTTGGAGGCCGGACAAGAACAATGAGGTGATAGGAGAAAACAGCAGGACAAAGGAAGGCTCACAGCTGGACGTTGGGTCTTGACTGGAAGGCGGCTTTCCCTCCCCAAATTCCCCAAATTCCATAAATGTGATGGACCTGTATCTTGCACGAGTCAAAAAGAGGCCTGTGAAAATAGCTACAGACCCCCTCACACATCCCGGACATAAACGGTTTCAACTCCTACCTTCAAAACGACGCAATAGAGCCCTGCACACCAGAACAACTAGACACAAGGACAGTTTTTTCCCCCGAAAGCCATCACTCTGCTAAATAAATAATTCCCTCAACATTGTCCAACTATTGACTAAGTCTGCATTACTATTACTATTAATCACTCCTTATCACCCATCCACTCCCTCTTGTGACTGTATGACTGTAACGTCACTTCTTTCCTAATGATTTATATTGACTGTTTCCTAGTATGATTTGATTCTATTCTATTCTTTTCTATTCTATTCTATTCTATTTCTATTTCTTATTCTATTCTAATTCTATTCTAATTCTATTTCTATTTCTCTATTTGTATTATTTCTATTTCTATTTCTATTCTAATTCTATTTCTATTTCTCTATTTCTAATATTTCTATTTCTAATTCTAATTCTATTCTAATTCTTATTCTTATTCTATTCTAATTCTATTTCTTATTCAATTCTAATTCTATTCTAATTCTGTTTCTATTTCTCTATTTCTATTATTTCTAATTCTAATTCTATTCTAATTCTTATTCTATTCTAATTCTATTTCTTATTCTATTCTAATTCTAATTCTATTCTATTCTATTCTATTCTATTCTAAACAGAAAAGCTGAATATTGTGGAAAAGTTGCTATCCCATCCTATCTTCAAGAGCTGCAAGTCGGCCTAAACGACTCCTCCTCACAACGTCCCTGTGAAGTGATAAGCAGCACATAAGTCTAAAATGATATTGAGGTGGCTAATACAAGCCATCCTCGTCTTAAACACTATTCGTTTAGTGACTTGCAACAGTGCATTTCGTGACCGAAGTTATAGCAGCACTGAAAAATGTTCGCTTAGGACTGTTGTTCACACTTATGACCGTTGCAGCATCTCCCAGGGTCAGGTCATAAAAATTCAGATGCTTGGCCACTGACTCGTATGACCGTCGCAGCAAACAAAGTAAACCAGATTCACTTAACAATCCTGTGACTAAGTTAACAACTTAAAGCATCCTGGCTGGGGGATTCTGGGAGTGGAAGCCCTCCCCTCTTAAAGCAGGCTGGCTGGGGATTCTGGGAGTGGAAGTCACCCATCTTAAATCATGCTGGCTGGGGGATTCTGGGAGTAGAAGTCCAGCCCTCTTAAAGCATCCTGGCTGGGGATTCTGGGAGTGGAAGCCCATCCCTCTTAAAGCATCCTGGCTGGGGGATTCTGGGAATCCTCCCCTTTTAAGGAATGCTGGCTAGGTAATTTTGGGAGTTGGTCATTACAGCTTAGTTGTCCAGGTATAGGAACATTGATCTACTCTCTGGATGCACATAGATGCAAAAAAAATAAAAAAAATCAAGGTTGTTAACACACCACAAAATACCTTAATATAAATTGAAATATTAAGAAATAATATTGCGTATTTCCACAAAGTCTTAGTGCAGCCCTTGTTTTTCGCTTGCTTCATCTATGGATGGACCCATGCCAGCAAAACACCATTAGAGAGAAAAACAACTCGAGAGAGAGACAGAAATTCGAAAGGCCATTTGCCAATGGCGCCTGGAAATGGCTACTGCTGGAGGACGGGTGGAGTGAGGAAGAAAGAGTGAGGAAAGAAAGGAAAAAAAAACTTAAGAAAAGGGTGTAATTGCCCAGCTGCTACCGGCGTTTTCACATTTAGTTAAACGGCACTCAAGCCAGCTTAGGGTGTGAGGTAGACTTTCCTTAGAGAAAAAAAACCAACTCCTGAATGACAAACCTTTTCATTTTGTAGGGAGAAAAGAGAGAGGGGGAAAAAATACCTCCTACTTCTTTGCTTTTTCAAGGAAGCTCGTCGGCCCTATTCGAGGGCCCCAGGGTGCTTCCTGTGCACCCCAAATTTCCATGGGAACCGTCCCTCACAATTTCCACAAAAGTGAAAGCAGCCAAACCCAAACCCGGCTTGAAAAGAAAGATTTAAAAGCTCTTTCTCTCTCTCTGAATTTCATTTAGTTGCTTTCCCGCTTTGATCCAAATTGAGGGCAGGGTCTTTATTGCAAATGGGGTACAAAGGAAGCGAGGGCTCTCCTAGCTCGCGTTAAACCCACCCATGGGGATTTAAACCTTTGCCACCCCAAAAGCCACCTTGGAAATGTCAGGTCAGCTTTGCAAACCCCACGCAGCCCGTCTTCAAGGCAGCGGAGCTGAACAACTATTTGCTCTGTTTAGAATAATATTTTCCAACCACAGCGATCAAGTTATCGCTGACTGAGTAAGGGAGGGGAAAACATGCTTTAAAAAAAAGAGAGGGCACCCTTTCTTTTTTGAAGTTTGTTTTCACGGCAGAAG